AATTGAATGCACTACTATGATCCTGAAGCAACTAGAGGTCAGGAGCTAAGCACCTGGGCGTGGAAAGCTAGGTTTCTGAGACCAGAGGACAAAGTGTCCAGCAGAGAGGAGAGGCTTCAAAACTTGAGCCATGTTTCCAGGCTCAGTAATGTCTAGGCCTCCACTTGCTTTGGAACTGCCTTTGCCTCTAAGTGTTCAGGGAGGGGTCTGGCGCTGGAGCTGGCCCCACCAAGGCCTGGGCAGCAGCCCCAGTTTCTGGTGACCTTCCTGTAGACTTTTAGGTTGTGCTTTGCTTTGTTTTGTTGTTTGTTTCCTCACAGCAGGGTGGCCTTTCCCTGCTTCTGGGTGGGAACTGGGGGAGGGAAGATGGTTCGCCCCCATCTCCACAGCTGTGTTTACACTTCCCTGTCAGAGGCTGTCTGGGGCCTAACCTTTGCTTAGCCCTTTTTGTCCCTTCAGAGAAATGCTATTTGATATCCCTGTGGGCCTTGCGAGGGAGGGGCAGAATGAGTCAAGGGGTCACCATCTAAAGGGGGCTGGAAGGAAGGGAGAAATGCTGCAAGGGAGGGAGGAAGAGGGCGGGAAGCTCCGTTTGAATTCTGGGAAGCATCATCTCCTTCCCTTTCTATCAGTGGCCTGAAGACCAGCAGGGGACAAAAGTACACTTAGATCCTGCCTGCCCCAGAAGGAACAGAACATGATATGTCATTTCTAATCACTGGGTAGAACAAGATCTTGCTTTGTGATGGGGATGATGTGAGTGCACAGAACAGAAAGTCTTCCCTAAGGCTTCACTGGGGCCAGTAGTCAGAGTTACAGCATGTTGAAGCCAGTAAGATCATGCTAAAGTACACATAAATTAAAAAAGATTTAAGGAAATGGCCAAGTAAATAATGCTCTTCTCCAGGGAGCGAGCTGAGCTGGTATTAATCAGGATAGGCAGTGTTGCCGGACTCTCAGCCAAGCCCAGGAGAATGGCTGCCAAGGCAAATCAGGCATCAGGTTTCAGAAATTAAACACATAATTTTATTTTTCCGCAACAGGGAACTTTCAGAAAAAGAACCAGCTCTATTAGGCTACTCAGCACACTTTGTTCAGTTTCTTTCGACCCCAAAGGCCTCCAATTTAAGAGCAAGATGAGCAACTGGAAGCCAGAAGTGCCACGGTTATTCCTTTCTCCTATTGACTGCCCAGAGGTGGGGCTGGAAGGAGTGGGGCAGGGGTAATGGTGCTGTTTTTCAAAGGTCCAGCTGCTGACCACTAGCCAACAGTTTTTCTACGAATTTATGGGACAAAGACCTGAAGGGCTGGAAAAGAAAAAGTCATAGAGGAAGAGCTGGCCAAACAAAGATTGGCTGATAGTTTTTCATGAACCAAGGTCAGCAAAGAAAGAGGCTGGTCTCAGGGAAAAACTCTCTCCCATCACAGTGAGGAGTAACCAACTGGCAGACAAGTTTTCCCCCAAGAACCCCATGCTTATTGGTGATGAAGAAAGTTGTTTTTACAATTCTCCAGTGAAAAAGGATTGCTAAACCCTGGGTTTAGTCCGACGCCAAGTGTTGCTGTGGGTATCAGAAAGGTGTACAATGATGCAGTGTCAAAGTGCTACTGGAGTTGCGCAGGACAGACCCGGGAGGGCTGGAGCCTTATTGAGGAGGTGGAGGCTGAGCTGAGCTGCAGAACTCTGATCTACAGCTTTGACATACATTCCCCCACCTTCCTTCTTTTCCACCTCAAAATATTTCTGTAACCATATTTTCTTTATTATTGCGAAATTTGTTTCTCTCCTCTTGCCACTTGGCATACTCTCCTAAAGCAATGTTGTCCATTCCCATGATGTTAGTTACCATCCCATATATTGATGATTCCCCAATTTCTCTCCAGTCTCAGTCCTAACAATAGACCTTCTGAACATCTCTCCTTAGGTAACTCATATTCTTTTTTTTTTCAACAATTATTCATGTAGTGTAATGATTCTCAAACTTGGTCACGCAGTGGAATCACCTGGGATGCTCTCGGAACCGCAAAGCCCAGGCCATACCCCAGAGCAATGAACCAGACTCTCTGGAGGCAGGAGACAGGCTACAGTTATTAAAGTTCTCCAGTTTTCATTTCAATGTGAGCCAAGTTTCTAGAATCACTGATGTAGAAGGTATTGGGAATGGAAAGGAACATCATTGCAAATCACCATATATGAAGGAATTGTTTTTATTTGGCAGTTAATTGGATAGAAACAAGAGAAAAACAGCAAAGTCAAAGTTTCTGATAAAAGGAAAAGAACACTAAATCAGGAACCCTGAGACCTTGGTTTAAGATCTGACAGAGCAGTTTTTCATCTGTAAAAAAGGAATTTTTAACTCCTTTATGCCAAAATAGCCTTGTGTGTAAAACTGAGATCCTCCCAATCCACTTCATAATAACTTCCATTATGTTATTATGAAGACTATTGAAAAATAAACATTATATAGGCTTTTGTAGTTATATACTTGGAGACAAATTTAAGGTAATGTTATTTTGTATTTTAAGTTTTAATTTTTAACTTTGTATTTTGAAATAATTTTAGAGTCATAAAAGAGTTGTACATAGTAGAGACTTCCTGTATACCCTTCAGCCATCTTCCTCAAATGCTGAGGAAGTGCAATTGCCAAAGCCAAGAATTAAGATTAAGAAAATACTGCCCTGGCTGGTATGGCTCAGTTGGTTGGGGTCAATTCCCATTCAGGGTGTGTGCCTGGTTTTCAGGTTCTGTGCCTAATCTGGGCAGGCCACCGCACCCAGTGGACAGCTACAGACCACGTCAGAGCACCATCACCCTGCCCCTGCACAGCTGATCCTCTGTGGAGGATGGAGGTTGGTAGTCAGTGGTCACAGCCAGTCCTTGCAGCTGACTCACCTGGGTAAATCCCTCCCATTGACCTGCCAACAGAAACCAAGCCTCAACTACAAGAGGAGGGTATACTCAGCCCACATGAAAGGCACACCTTGAGTACCCAGCTTGGGTGATAGGGGAGGCTGCGCCAGTGAACCCTGCAGGACACCTACTTCATTAGGACACTTTACCAAGACAGAAAGTCATAGCAGTTTTACCTAATACATAGAAACTAACACAGGGAGGCTGCCAAACTGAGACAAAGAAACATGGCCCAAATGAAAGAACAGATTAAAACTCTAGAAAAAGAGCTAAACAAAATGGAGAACAGTAATCTATCAGATGCAGAATTTAAAACACTGGTCATAAGTATGCTCAAGGGACTTAGTGAGGACCTCAACAGTATAAAAAAGATCCAGTTAGAAATGAAGGACTCACTAACTGAAATAAAGAACAATTTATAGGGAAACAACAGTAGAGTGTATGAAGCCAAGAATCAAATCAACGATTTGGAACATAAGGAAGCAAAAAACAACCAATCAGAACAACAAGAAGAAAAAAGAATCGAAAAAAAGTGAGCAGAGGGCCCTGGCTGGTGTGGCTAGGTGGACTGAGTGCCAGCCGATGAACCAAAGGTTGCTGGTTCGATTCCCAGTCAAGGCACACGCCTGGGTTGAGGACAAGGTCTCCAGCTGGAAGTGTTTGAGAGGCAACTGATTGATGTATCTCTTGCACATTCATGTTTCACTCCCTTTCTTTCTCCCTCCCTAAAAATAAATAAAATCTTAAAAAAAATTTTTTTTAAGAAAACGAAGACACTGTAAGCAGCCTCTGAGACAACTTCAAGCGTTCCAACATTCGCATCATAGGGGTGCCAGAAGGAGAAGAAAAAGAGCAAGAAATCAGAAATCTATCTGAAAAAATAATGACAGAAAACTTCCCTAATTTGGTGAAGGAAATAGACATGCAAGTCCAGGAAGCACAGAGAGTCCCAAACAAGATGGATGGAAAGAGGTCCACTCTAACACACATCATAAGTAAAATGCTGAAAGTTAAAGATAAAGAGAGAATATTAAAAGCAGCAAAAGAAAAGCAATTAGTTACCTACAGCTGAATTCCCATAAGATGGTCAGCTGATTTCTCAAAAGTCAGAGATCTACCTCCAAGATTGCTCTACCCAGCAAAGCTATCATTTAGAATCAAAGGGGGAAATAAAGAGCTTTCCAGACAAGAAAAAACTAAAGGACTTCATCCTTTAGTTTTATTATTATTATTATAGGAAATGTTAAAGGGACTTATTTAAGAAAAAGATCAAACCTAGGAACAATAGAATGGCAATAAACACATATCTATCAACAATTGAATCTTAAAAACAAAGTAAGCAAACAAGAAGAACAGAGACAGAATCATGGAGACAGACAGGGTTTTTTGATGGTTGCCAGATGGGAGGGAGATGTGGGGGAATGGGTGAAGAAGTGAAAGTTTACAATGTACAAATAGGTAATTACAGAATAGCCATGGAGAAATACAGTACAGTATAGGAAATGGAGTAGCCAAAGAACCTATACACATGATTCATGGACATGAACAATGGTGTGGGGATTGCCTGAGGGACAGGGGGTTGCTGGGTGGAGGGGAGCAAAGGGGGAAAAATCAGGACAACTGTAATAGCATAATCAATAAAATATAATTTAAAAGAAAGAAATAGAGTCAGGTGTAAATAAAGCAAGAATAAATGGAGCCCATAAGCGGGTATTTGGGGGTATTTGTAGATGTGATGGGTCAGTATGAAGTAGTTCCAGACTGGCTTCAAATGCTTAAGTGAGACGTGCAGACGGTGCAAACGCTGGATAAGGTCTTCAATAAGGTATCAGTGGCTCCTCGATGTTTCCCAAAAACACTGTCCCCGGACAGCGCCGTCTTTGGAAACCTTGGAGCTGGGACCTGGAGCTGCACCACGTCGACGCCTGAGAACACGGTGGTAGTGCCAAATGTCAGATGTTCTTAGGGGAAGGCCCAGGTGACCTGACCTGCAGGGCGAGCGGCGCACTGCGCACGCGCAGGAGGAGGCGCGAGGCGGGGCCACGGCACAGGGGGCGTGGCCGTGGTGCGCAGGCGTCCTAGTGGAGGGTGCCTGCGGCTCCGGATGGAGGGTGAGTGAGTAAACAAGCCCTGGCCGGGCGGTGAGGCCAGGCCTGGGAACCTCGCCACCCTAGGCCTAAGAGGGAGAGACGAAGGGGTCGGGGAATTGGGAAGAAACAGAAGGGCACACTGCCTGTCCACGGGGAGTAGCGGGGCGCCCACTCCCGGTCCCGAGGGCTGGGGGAAGGGGGCAACGGAGCGAGTGAACCCCCGGCGAGGACCGCGTCTGAGGCGGTGTGTCCGGGAGGTGGAGCGGCGGGGGCGGGCCCGGAGACGGGGAATCCCGTTGGAGGGCGGGGTGGATCGGGTAGGCGGGAGTCGCGGGTTAGGGAGGGCGTGGGTGGGCGGTTGTACCTGCGGGGGCCCTAAACGAGGTGGACTTCCAGGGACCTGGAGCTGTGCAACGGGAGGGCCAGACACTGGGGCTCAGTTTGGGGAGTGTTGAGGAGGTGGCAGTAAAAAAAGCACGGCCGGGACTGGGGTGGGGCGAGTGAGGTCCTAAATTGCAAAATGTAAGGGGGCACTCATTCTCGGCGTGGAGTCAGTGCAGACGGCCTCCTTAGGTTTTGGGCGCTTGGGCGCCTCTCGCCCTCTCTCCAAATTTGGTCTCGCGCCTATCTTTGTCCACCCCGGAATTCTCCTGAGGATCAAACGATAAAAGGGAAAGGACCTTAAAAACAGCGAGGTGTTGTATTTGGGACGTGCTGTTAGGAAATGTGGGACAGACATTTCGGTAAAAAGTGACTACTGATAAATTGTTTGGTGGGCGAGGAGAGGGAAGGAATGTGGAAGGACGTTAGTGCGACCGATGGACTATGGAGAGCGGACTTTTCTAGGTGAAATGTAAGGTCGTAAATGGATAGCCTAGGTGTGGAGCCCAGCGCTAGAGGGGTGAGGATAAGGACAGCAGCCTAGGTGGACGAGCTACTGCATGCGTTTGAGTACCGCATTGAGAGTGTGGTCTGTTTCTCCACTTTTGCTGTCATGACGCCTTTGAAGAGAAAAATTTCCCACCCGGTGCTTTTAAGTTTAGGAAACCGGCATTGAATGAAGTTTCTAGCCTCAGAAGTTGCTGTCAGAGGTTTTAAGCCTTGGAATCCCCAGTGGTGGGATGGCGTGCCATTGATAAAAGAGATTACTCACACAGAATAAAGTGTGTGTTCGGAGATAAGTACCTTTTTGTAACCACAGTTATAATAGAGGCAAGGACTAGCTCTAAAAATGTAATAATGTTATTGTCAAGGTTTATGTTGAGTGTGTGTATCACAGTGTGAATTAACTCTTCCAGAGCAGGGATGTGTTTTTTATGCTCACCCGAGGACATCTTTTCGTTGCTTTTATAGAGAGAGGGAGAGAGGGAAACATCAATCGGTTGCGTCCCGTAAGCAGCTGGACCAGGCATTGAACGGCAACGTAGGTATGTGCCCTGACCGGGAATCCAACAGGCAACTCTTCCATTACCGGACTTTGCTGCAGCTAACCTAACTACACTGGCCAGGCCTGTTTGTCCTTTTCATCTGCTGATGCACCCTAAAAAGATAGGAAAGAGCCCAAAACACAATTCGAGCAAATTTAAAAAGAAAAAAAGCTGGGGCTTTCCAGAATGGAAGTATTCCCCAAGAGCAGTTTTTCCTTTTTAAATCCTCCCCCTCAATCTTAATCTAACTGGCGTGATTCTCTGCACCTTTCCCCACATGCCTTTTTTTCTCTTTAATTTAAGCTACCCTATGCAGAAATGTAATGTGTTTAGTCAAACTTTTTTTTGGTCAGTTGTCAGGGAACAAAGTAGACACTTATTTTTAAAAAACCCAAACATTTTATTTATTTATTTTTTAGAGAATGGGAAAGGGACGGAAAAAGACAGCAAGAGAAAAGAATCATCTATGTGAGAGAGAAACATGAACTGATTGCCTCTCAGGCGCCCCACCCAGGGGTCAAACCCCAGACCCGGGCCAGATACACAGCAAGTGCTCAGTATATATTTATGGAATACGTAAATTGTAGGCAGACCTCTGGGTCTTGCAGCTGGAGATCTGGATCCTAATTCGGCTCCTAATTGGCAGAGTACTTGTAGTTCAGTCATGGAACTTGATGCCGAGACACAGCTTTAAAACGGTCTGAGATTGAAATGATTTCATTATGGTGTTATTTGAATTCTCTTTGAAACAGCACTAGAATAAGGAGCCTAGGACTTTAAAAAAAAATGAAATTTTATTCCCCAGCATCACTTTTGTAGAAGGAAAAAGGTGAGAAAATGTAGTCGGACTTGTTTCTCTTATCTTTCTTGACTTTGAATTAGCATGCCTTTTGAAAAACTGTTTAAAGTATTGATTTTTTTTTTTTTCTGTTTAATTTTTGAGATCTGAAATCTGGCTTCTTTAGTCCTGTGGGTAACAAACAGTTCCTGCCCTTAATTCGGGCTTTATGGGAAGCATGCAACAATTCATTTCCTTAAGTAGTATATCTTTTTCCTGTTTTAGAATAAGTTTTAAAAGTTTCTGCTTTGGCCCTGGTGTGGTTCAGTTGGTTGGGCATCATCCTGCAAAGTGAAGGCCGGCTCGGGTCAGTCAGGTAAAGGCACATGCCTGGCTTTTGGGTTTGGCCCCTGGTTGGGGGGGGCGGTGAGAGAGGCAGTCAGTTCATGTTTCTCTCTCACATTGATGTTTCTTTTCTCTCGCTGTCTTTTCCCCTCTCTTTCTCATTCTCTAAAAAATAAAGAAATAAAATGTGTTGGGTTTTTTTTTTTAATACAAGTTTCTACTTTGTTAACTGGCAACTTACCAAAAAAAAGTTTGAGGCAGCAACACTAAAAACACATTACATTTCTGCATAGAGTAGCTTAAATTAAAGAGAAAAAAAAGGCATGTGGAGAAAGGTGCAGAGAATCACGCCAGTTCGATTAAGATTGAGGGGGAGGATTTATAAAGGAAAAACTGCTCTTAGGGAATCCCTCCATTCTGGAAAGCCCCAGCTTTTTTTCTTTTTAAATTTGCTCGAATCGTGTTTTGGGCTCTTTGCTGTCTCTTTAGTCCATTAGCCTGTCAGCTGAGACTTTAGTGCTCCAAACCTTAAAGTGGAGAATTATTTAATGGATAGTTAGAGTTCAATGCCTCTGGGGTGTTGTGTTCTCTGACACACTTGTCCTAATTCATTCAAAGTGGAATCACTAAAAAGTCTTGTTTTTATTGGATGAGAATGAGCAGTCACTAAATATTAAACTTCATGCTAGTGTAGTACAGAATCAGCCAAGATAACTGTAAGGAGATTGCTTTAACTGTCTTAAGTCATTGTTGTATATCCTAAGAGCCAGTGTTTTCCTTTGAGTCTCATAAAACATCAATCCTGCTTTGATTTTTATCACCATTGTCTCCAGTGCAAATAATCTTATTCTCTTAGTAAAGCAACACTAGAAAATATTAGTGCTTTAATTTTATTTTAAATAGAATTCAGGAGCACAGCCTCTTGGTAGGCAGGGTGTTTTGGTTTTTTTTCTTTCTAAGAATTTATTTATTGATTTTTAGAGAGGGGGAAGGGAGAGAGGAAGGGAGGGGAAAAAATATTGGTGTGTCAAAGATGCGTGCTGCTTGCACGCCCTCAACTGGGGACCTGGCCCGCAACCCAGGCGTGTGCTCTGATTGGAATCGAACAAGCAACCTTTTGGTTCATGTGCAGGCGGGCACTCAGTCTACTGAGCCACACTAGCCAGGGCAAGACTTATTTTTTTCTTTAATCCACTGTAGTGAGGTAAAAATTTACATGCAATAAATTAATCATTTGTGTATATAGCTAAGCAAGTTTTCATAAAAGTGCATAGTGAAATAACCATCATCACACCAAAAGTATAGAACATTTTTATCCCCCAAAAGTGCCTTTACACTCCTTTTAATTGCCTTCCCCAACCCCAACCCCTGATGACCCTGAATCTACTTTCTGTCACTATAGATTTGCCCTTTCTAGAATTTTTATAGTAGAACGTCATGTAAGTGGAATCATATAGTATGTCATTTTTGTGTGTCTTGATTTCTTTCACATAGCATAATGCTTTTGAAATGTGTTGTGCATGTACAGGAACTGTTCATTCCTTTTTAATGCTGAGTAGTATTCCATTGTATATATGTATACTGTTCTTTGTATACATTTGCAAAGCCATGAATATTTATCTTGTTTGCACTTTTTGGCTCTTATGAATAAAGATGCTATGAACATTTGTGTACAGGTCTTTGTGGGGACATGTATTTTCATTTCTCTTGGGTAATTAGAAATTGTATGTCAGGTTATATGGTAAGCATATATTTTCCTTCCTTCCTTCCTTCCAGCTGCTTTCCAAAGTGGCTGTACCACTTTGCATTTCTACCACCACCATATGAGGATTCCAGTTTGTTCCACTCCCTCACCACCAATTGATACCATCAATTTCTTACTAATTTTAGACATTTTAGTGGGTTGTAATAGTACATCCTTGTGGTTTTGATTTTGCATTTCCCTAATGACTGATAGTACTGAGCATCTTTTTGTGCTCATTTTTGTGCAAAAATTTTTGGTGAAGTATCTGTTCAGATTTTTTTTTTGCCATTTTATTGGATTTATTGAGTTTTGGAGTTATTTATATAGACGTATTGTTAAGCTTCTTGACCAAAACAGCATATTTTGAAGGGGGCTTTTTTCAACCTTTTTATTTATTTATTTTTAGAGAGAGGGAAGGGAGGGGGAGGGAGAAAGAGAGAAAAACATTGATTGGTTGCTTCTTGCACATGCCCTGACTGGAACCGAACCCACAACCTACACATGTACTCTGACCAGAAACTGAACCAGCAACCTTTCGCTTTGCAGGGTGATGCCCTAACGACTGAGCCACACCAGTCAGGGTGCATGCTTTGGAGTTTATTTTCAGTGTATAATGAAAAGCTCTAAAGTGATAGCTTAGTACTTAACTGAAAACATAAGTGCTGTTTTGCATGTCTAAGAACTAAAGAACAGATCTAATAGAAATAAAAAAAATTTTTATGTGCCATTCCCATTGCCCAAGATGAATGAACCCATTTCTCCAAATCTGCTGTAGTGAATGCTGAGTGTTTTGTTTGCTTTTAAAAAAAAACAAACAACTTTGAAGTGATAGTTGTTGGTTAGCATCCAGATACTATGAGAACCAATCTTACGGCTGTTTATTTTAATCATACCTATCTGTTCCAAACAGTATGTCTCATCTTCCTCATATACTCTGTGGGATTGACTAACTGCCAAATAAACTTCAGTGGGACATTGAAGACCCATTAAAAGGCAAAGCAAAATAAATACTGCCTCCTTGGTCACATGAAAGTCAAATATCATTTTTATTTTAAAAGGAAGTGTGGCTTATTTTACAGTATGATTGATTAAAACAATGGCAAATGTGTGTATATGAGCATTCTCCTCTGGCCAAATAAATTCTTGAGTAAAATTAGAAATAGGACCATTGATTACTGGACTATTTTGGTATATTTACTGTCAGCTCTTTTTGACAGACTATGGGAGATCACATGTCAGTCGTGGCCTCTTTAAGAAAAATATTGACATTTTTCTGTGACCGTCACTCTAAGAAAACTACACACACACATACCCTGGCAGCTGTGGGTTATATTCTCTTCCATTACTTGATCTCCAGTTTTAAATGGAAGCAGCAAACTGCGCTAAGCTTACTATTTCAAAAACGGAACTGAGTTCCAAAAAGAATGGGAAAGGGATTGCAGTAAAAACCCACTTTTTAAGGAGGTTGTAAAGACTCACTGAATTGCGATCTGTAACATTTGGGCCATTTGTGTCTCAATAAGGGTAACTTAAGGTTTCTCAAGGAGGCAGTTTTGTCCTACATTTGAACCATTTTCTCATTTTCCACAACAGACTATTAATCTTCTACAGAAATTATATGAACAGCTACTTAATATTCCATGTGAGTGTGGTGTATGTTCACAAATAGTTTTATCAGTCAGAGTCCCTCTTTTGGCCCCATTCTATAGAGGAATGAGAAACATTTAAAAGCTAGGAGGACGAGAGCTGGTGCAACTTCTAGGAGAGAAATTCAGGGCAGCTTAATTTTTTTTTTTCTAACCCAGCATTTTAATACTCTGGGATTCAATTCCTAGATTATGTTGTTTCATGTCCTTCTTCCAGAGAGAGAACATTTAACTCACAGGGAATTCTCTTTCTAAGATCTTAAATAACTTGATTAAGTATACCAAATCCCCAAATGTCACAGGAAACACAGTGAATCTGTCTGCATTTTTGCTATTCCTTCCTTCCTTCCTTTATTTATCCTCAATTCTAATGGCATTATACCAATCTATTTGATTCATCAGATGAAAGAAGTCCGTGTACGTGAGGTATAATAATCATGATTGGAGTGTGGCATATGTGTGACAGTGGGTTAAATTTTGCTATTTTCTTGTTTGCGCTGTCAATTCTTATGGGAAAAAGCAGGTAATTTTAAAATGATTCTTTAGAAGAAATGGAATAGTAAACTCAAAAAGCAAATATTTTTAAAGAAATTTTAAAAAACAAGGCCTGAAACTTTAGTTTCTATTTCAAATTTTGGCCCTTCATAATGCCTTGTTAAATGAGTTGAACTAGTTCCCTAGGAAACCTAAATAGTGAATATAAAATAAAGATATAATCCCGTAGATTTTGTCAAATTTTTTAATGTAATGATACTTGTTCTTTCTCTGAAATTATTGATGGGGCTGCAGGCTGAGCCTAGAAATTGGTTCAGAAAAGCAGAATAGCAAACTTGGTGATTGTGAGAATATATTTGTACACATGACTGGAAGGAGAGAATTTAATAAAGGGCCCTTCCCAATGGCATCAAGTATTATTGGGACACAACCTGACTTGCATGCAGAAATAGTGGTAGCAGAGACCTCAAAGTCTTCACAGTTACGGGGGAGCATCCTACTGAGGGTACCAGGGTCTAAATATACTTCACTGACTTAAAAACCACTGACTGTTCTCTTTTGAAAAGCTGAACATTTGTTTTGCCTTTGTGTCTCACCATTCCTCTGAAGAACAGAAGGCACGTTGTAAAACCCGACAGTTCCCCTTGCATTCTGCGAGATAGGTAGTGTGTGATACATAGTAAGTACTTCTTTAACACACACAGAGCTATTTGCAGTGTTACATATTTCCATATGTCTTGCTCTTGGAGATGAAATTATGCTGTTGTCCTATCCTCCCTTATTGCTAAGGGTGTAGTACAGTTAGACAGCTAGGCAGGTTCAGTTTTATAGTGTGGATCTTTCCACCAACCCCTTTGATATTGACTTGATTCTTGCTGAACATTTCTCTTAATCAAAGTAGTGAGTAGGCTTCAAAATTTCCACGTAATCTAAGCTCCTAACTGAGAGAGAACTTCTTGGCTGCTGAACTAAAAACAAGGTATCACAAGAGGACAAAGGATAATAAGCTTTTTGGAATTAAGACCAGGAATTGCTGACGAGAAATCTTTTAATTGAAACTTTTTTTTGAACTCACAGATTTGGGTTCTTTAAGTGTATGTTTTTATGAATAAATACAATGGGAATGGAAGTATAACTGACCATGTTTGAGTTTGAGGAATGCTTCATTTCCAGGCAGTAAAATGCTATTTCTCATCCCTGTCTCTATTAGATTACAGCAAAATGGATATACCAAATCCCCCAACTTCCAAATGTATCACTTACTGGAAAAGAAAAGTTAAGTCTGAGTATATGAGACTTCGACAACTTAAACGGCTTCAGGCAAATATGGGTGCAAAGGTAAAAAATAATTCCCAAATGAAAGGTTCTGTATTTTAATATATTGATCCAATGTGGAGGGGTTGAATTTTTTTTTAGCTCTTCTTTTAAAATCCTAATAACTTTTTTCTTGGCTTTGCTAGGCTCTGTATGTAGCAAATTTTGCAAAGGTTCAAGAAAAAACCCAGATTCTCAATGAAGAATGGAAGAAGCTTCGTGTTCAACCTGTCCAGTTGATGAAGCCCGTGAGTGGGCATCCTTTTCTAAAAAAGGTACTTGTGGATATCTAAGTTCAGCCTTCCCCTCTTCCTTCTATTTGTGATTAGAAAATAAGTAAGAATAATGGATGCAGTTATTATAGTCAATTTTTAATGACTAGGATGATAAATCTGTAGCTTAAAGAAGAAACTTTTTACCTATTCTCCTCAGTAAATGAGCATAATCATGAATTTTTCATGGAAAAATCAAGACATTTGGCTGTGATGGGTTTGGCTCAGTCAACTGAGTGCTGGCCTGCAAACCGAAGGGTCGCCAGTTTGATTCCCTATCAGGGCACATGCCTGGATTGCAGGCTAGGTCCCCAGTTGGGATCATAGGAGAGACAACCAGTTGATGTTTCTCTGGCACATCGATGTTCCTTTCTCTCTCTTTCTCCCTCCCTTCTCCTCTCTCTCAAAATGAATCAATAAGATCTAAATAAGTCTTCTCTCTGCCTATTCCTATTTAGGAAAAAAAAGAAAAGACACTTTCTGTCTACTTTCCTGGGTTCTGTGTCCAGGCTTCAAAGCAGCCTTTTTTTGTGCCTTGTTAGGCACCTTCAGCACTTTGACACTGGATAATAGACAGGAGTATATTCATCAGAGATATACCCTTTATTGTAAATTTGCGAATTATTCTCATTTTTGAAAGAGATAATGTTTTTAAAATATGAAAAGCAGGTAGTATATTGAGAGTGATTTTGTTTCCCAAAGCAGAATCTGACTATAATTTCTTTTGCTTCCCCCTGAACTGTCCCCATCACCTGTGCAGCTAAGTTGGTGTCCACTGTCTGAAAGTTTAGGTCTTCATGAAAACCTCCTCGTCTTCCTCCTCATCCTTTAGGACTTTCAAAGATCCTTTGCTGTTGTTTACAGCCCAAGGAGACCAACGGTTTTAGGTTGAAATAAACTTGAAGTGTGGGATTTGAATAAACATCATTGAGTATGGGAGGCACTGTCCTGGATTCATAGAGGATGCGAAGGTGAATAAGAAATAGTCCTGCTTTCCACAGTTTGCAGTGCAGTGGTTCCTTTTAGGGGCTGACTGTTACAGAACACTCAGCATATTTGAAACAATTGAAAGGCTACTGGAATCCTTTTGGAAGGAAACTCCCAATTCGCTCTTGGGTTGTGTGCTTGCCTTTCCCTCTCCATGTTGTTGTTTATATTTCAGTGTACCATAGAGAGCATTTTCCCGGGATTTGCAAGCCAACACATGTTAATGAGGTCTCTGAACACAGTTGCATTGGTTCCCATCATGTATTCCTGGTCCCCTCTCCAGCAGAACTTTATGGTATGTATTGAACACATTGGTCATTGCTTAAACTCCGTGATTTTTTATGTTGCTATGCTTGCACTCCTCGTAAAGTAAATATTGTCCTAGTATACTTGACAAAGGTTGGACATGTAGGGCAGAATGCTTTTGTAATTTACGTAGTCTAAAAAGTAGATTGCAGGTTCTTCTGGCTTGTTAGATATGTTCTCTGAAGTGTACTTCTGCATCGATGCTGGTTCTTTTTTCAGTGAGTGAGACTGGGCAGGACTCCAGTTTTTCCTTACTACCTTGGCCCAATTTTGTAACATTATGTGCAGTTAAATGCAGTCTAAATCAGACACGTGAGGCTTAAGCAGGTTGACACCTCCCTGCTGATGGCTCAGTCCTTTCTGAATCCCCTAAAGGCAAGATGCTCTGAAAGCAGCTGAGATAAATGAGGTGCTCAGGGATCCGCAACCCTTTCATCCGGGCCTTTATGCTGACTCCTGCTAGGATTATTTGTGGTCCTGATAAGCAGTCCTCTCTTAATACTGCCATTGCTTATCATCTGCCTGGTGACAGATAACAGTCCCGACTGGAATAGGATATGGGTTTACAAAAGGGAATCCTCTCTTAGAATGAAACTTCAGAGTAATTTTACTTTGATATTTGAGGATTTAAAAATGACTGTTCTCTGCTGAACCAAAAAAAGGAAAAATCCGTTAGTATTGCATATTGCCAGAAAATATTTGTAGTTCATAGTGTGATTGATTTCACGTTCCCACTAAATGTATATTTTAATTTTTAATTGATTTTTGAGGGGGACGGAGCGGGGGAGATAGGTGGCACCAGGGCAGAGAGAGAGACGTAGATTTGTTGCTCCACTTATTTATGCCTTCGTTGGTTGCTGCTTGTATGTGCCGTGTCTGGGGATGAACCTGCAACCTTGGCCAGTCAGGATGATGCTCTAACCAGCTGAGCTACCCGGCCAGGGCAAATGGCCAGTTTTAAAAATTCATGCAACGATGACCAAAGTCATTCTTAGGAGGTTCAAGCAGCAAACAAAGCTCAGCAAAGATTTAATTAAACAGAAAAGAGGAGATGCATAGTAGATTCATGGAACGATTCACATCTGGTTTGATTTCAGGTGGAAGATGAGACAGTTTTGTGCAATATTCCCTACATGGGAGATGAGGTGAAAGAAGAAGATGAGACTTTCATTGAAGAGCTGATCAATAACTACGACGGGAAAGTCCATGGTGAAGAAGGTAGTGGTGCCGGGCTCTTTGGGAGAAAACTTTGTTAGAATGGTACCTCTTCTCTGGTCCGTCATCACCTTCCTTTTATCTGCTGCTTTGTAGTGCACACACCAAAGAATATTTCAGTGTAATCATTGGGCTGAGAGTAGAAATTTTATATTAAAAATATTCCAGTTAAATTTTAAAAGGAGTTGGGTCAGAAAAGGATCATATAGTAATCAGGGTGACAGGAGAGAAGATTCATTGTACAAGTAAGTTTGACCTCAGAAGTTTTCTATAAATCCATCCAAGGCCATTGATTCTTCATTTCCTTTTCTCTGAGAATGGCGCTGGCGCAGAACCTCTGTCCTATGGCTTTGAACCCGATAGCCCCTAGATCTCTCAGAAGTTGGTTGTAATATCCTGACTTTCCCAGAATAGAGTCATTTGGATTCAGTAATTCTAGAAGAGGCTGTCCGTGTGCAAGAAGTGGGAAGATGGGGAGACTCCCATTGACTTGCAAACCAATAGCCTCATCTACTTTTTTGACAGTTGTGGGCACTCATGATGTTCTTGAAATGTATTTATCCACTACGCCCCCTAGTGTTCAAAGACTTTCTCCTAAGGTGTAGTATAACCCCATATAGTATGATTTTAGAAAACGATGTTCTCCTTTTATTCAAAGAAGTCACTACTGACCAATTAGCAGCAAAACTAAGTACATTTTCACTATATCATTCTTTTTCTGTCCCATTTATATTATTTGCACACTTCCGTGAGATTTTGGACCATAAATACAGGTTAACTTGTGCCTGTAGAAGTAAAGTACCCCAGTAAGAACAAAGCCTGTAACTGGATTTCCCACTCTAGTCAGCTGAACTATTGCAGCTGTGTGAGCCTGTCAAATTATTGTACTTTCCTGATTGACCATATAAAAATGTACACGTGATATCTACCGGGGTCTCAGGAGTGAATGCAAGAAAACCTTCCTAAGAGGACTGATGGAATATCAAACAACCACTGCTCATCCATTTAATCCCTATGCTTCAGAGATGATCCCTGGATCCGTCCTCATTAGCGATGCTGTTTTCCTGGAGTTGGTAGATGCCCTGAATCAATACTCAGATGAGGAGGAGGAAGGGCACAATGACACCTCAGATGGAAAGCAAGATGACAGCAAAGAAGATCTGCCAGTGACAAGAAAGAGAAAACGACATGCTATTGAAGGTAAGCAACACTACTTCCTTATTCCACTTTAAAAGTAACAGGGAAAGGGAAGAGGGGAAAAACAGAAAGGTTCACTGCTGTAATTGGTTCACTTAAAGTGAAAAAAATGATCATTGACTAATAGCTCTAGATAGCTGTGACCTAGCTGAGAAGAAAGTAGAACTGAGAGTGTGATCATTTTTCACTTCTAGTTATAACAGTGGTGTATTTGGAAAACATGAAATGAACAAAATAAAATTACCTTATAATCCTGCTGACTAGGAATAACCAGCATTAAGATTTCCTTCTAGACCTAAACAAATGTAAAATGTATATATATAAAACTATTACAGTGTTATATGTCAAATATATCTCATTTTTTAAGTACATATATGTCAGCCTGTTTATATATATTATGTGAAATTGAGATTGTGCCGTGTGTGTATATACACATATGTAATTCTATATCTCTTTTTTATTTAATCTTATGAGCATTTTTCCATGTTAATATTTATTTAATGTTTAATTGTACACTACGTTATTTAATTGTACTATATGTCCAGGGACATAGTGTCTCTCTTCTTAAAACGAAGTTATAATACACTATCAGTCTTGTTTTTTTCAGCATCAGCATTATGATAGGATTCTTCTATATTCAGTTCTCTCTGTAAAAACTCTGGTTTTCATCTCCTGAGTCTATCTTGGGCAGTAGATTTTGTTGTTAATAAGTAGATGACTCTGATTTCCTTATTTACTGGTAGCCTGTTAGGTAAGTCCAGTTGCTTTGACCCTCTTTATGTATTTCTAAACAGCCAATGGTTAGATTAACAAACCAGCTCTAATCAAAGTGCTGTGACAAAAGGAAAAATCGTAGAACAGCTTTGTTTGCGTATTTTAATTAGAGGTAGCACTCAGGAGCTTTTTGTCTTTTTTAATTTAGGCAACAAAAAGAGTTCCAAGAAACAGTTCCCAAATGACATGATCTTCAGTGCAATTGCCTCAATGTTCCCTGAGAATGGTGTCCCAGATGACATGAAGGAGAGGTAGGAAAAGCTGTCCCCCTCAGGCCATGTAGAGTGAGTGGGCAAAATTTTTATCCAAGCCTGTATCTGGTTAGTAAGAAGCCTTGTTTATGGTAAGTGCCTTAGGATTTGCCCACACTTCTGCTTACTACTTGGCTTGCCCCTAAATACCCTTTCCCCTATTAAGGGTCATTGTCTGCTGGCTTTTGAGTAAGTCTGAGAACTTTTATAATTTTGCCATTTTTCTGGAGAGTTGCTCCAGCACCATCCTTATCAAATCTTCCCTCCCCTTACTTTCAGACACATGCCCAGCCCATCATAATTACAGTGGCGCACCACCTTAGTCACACACCATTCCGTCACCCGCAAGGCTCACGCAGGCGCCCATGCTCTCTTGGCCAGCTGTACCTGGATGGCTGTCAGTACCCTATCTGTATTTTCTCAGTGAAGACATTCCCTCGGAGGGAACTCTTATCTCTCTCCTCTTAAACAGGTATCGAGAGCTAACAGAGATGTCAGACCCCAATGCACTCCCCCCTCAGTGCACACCCAACATCGACGGCCCCAATGCCAAGTCTGTGCAGCGGGAGCAGTCTCTGCACTCCTTCCACACACTTTTTTGCCGGCGCTGCTTCAAATATGACTGCTTCCTTCACCGTGAGTGGGCCACTCTGAAATGCTCTCCTGTTTTCCACTCCTAGTCACTATTTCCTTCGCTTACTTTACTTTATCATATAAAGTTCCTGGCTTCTGATCTGATGATGGTTTGGCTAAGAACCAGTTTATATTTACTTGTTAAGTTAAAGTGCAGTGTGTTTTGCAGGGTCAGGACAGAATAACCAGCAACATAATTTTTCCTAATACAACCTAGTTTTGAAAGGATTCTGGTGATACCAGAAATGATTAAATTCTGTGCACCTTGATGGTAGCTGTTTAAATCCAAATTCTCCTACACTAGCTCCCTAATTCAATTTTGTTTCACCCTATCCTGTCAAGTGGGATGAATCATTGGAAACAAGACAGTGTTGTGTTTTCCAGCTTTTCATGCTACCCCTAATGTATATAAACGCAAGAACAAAGAAATCAAGATCGAACCAGAACCATGTGGCACAGACTGCTTCCTTTTGCTGGTATGTTCTTAAGCCGTTCCGCCATTGTTAACTTTGTTGAAAAGCAAGCAGAAAATGCTCCTTGGGTTTTCTGCCCCTAGAAACGCAAACCAAGTGAGACAGTATGTAGCACTCAGGGGTCATAAAGTACAAATAAAACATGACTCCTGCTCTTAAGGAACTTCCAGATACTGAGGCAGTGGGACTGTGAAGTTAGTTTCATGGGGTGATATCATTTACTCAGATTTCAGAGCCTGAAACTGTGTTGTTTGAATTGAGCTGGGTGTTTATCTTAAACTTACAGAAATGTATATGCACAGGTTTTCTTTTATTGCTTTTTAGAAATCAGTACATATTCAAATGCTGGACTGTTTTTCCCTAAACTTTTTATTAAGAAAATTTTCAGTCATGCAAAGAAATTGGAAGATAACTTTTTCCTCAATTTAATAACATTTTTTCCATATTTGCTTTATTCCCATATTAGTGTGTACGTATTTTTTGCTGAGCCATTTGAAAATAAGTGCAGATGTTGTGATACTTGTTTGCTAAGTATTTCAGCATGCATCTCCTAAAAATAGACATTCTTCTAGATGTTACAGCTGCAAAAATTAACAAGAATACCATAGCATCATCTATCCATTACATACTCAAAAAATTTTTTTTGGTGGTACTAGGAATAGCTAGTGTTTTTTAAAACAAGGATCATAGTCCATACATCATATTTGGTGATTATGTCATTTCAGTCTCTTATTATTTTTTAGTTTATTTATCAATTTGAGAGAGAAACATCAATTTATGCATTATGCAGTTTATCCATTTATGCATTCACTGGTTGCTTCTTGTATGTGCCCTGCCTGGGAACCTGCAACCTTGGTGTGTCAGAATGATGCTCCAACCAACAGAGCTACCTGGCCAGGGTTTCTCAGTCTCTTTTAATCTCAGATAATCACACCTTTTTTTTTTTTCCCTTCTTTTGAAAAGTTCAGGCTGGTTGCCTTGTAGGATGTCCCGTACTGTGGATTTGTTGTTTCCTCCTGGTGTCATTTAACTTTTGTCTGTCCCCAGTTTCCCATCAGCTAGAATTAGCTCTGGAGGCTTAATTATACTTATGTTAAACATTTTGAGAAAGAATATAAGTGATACTGTGTGTATCACATCTTAGCATAGGCATATAATGCCAGATCCATTTAATTAAAAACTTTTCTTTTAGAATTACCATTAATATCCTTATTAATGATAAATCTTTATCCTTTACATGTTGATTTAGTTTTCAGAAACAGCTAGAAGTCTTTGGGAACCAAGTGTGGTAAAAAGAGAGATAATCAAGCTCAATGATTATTTGGTCTTTAAAAAGAAAAGAAAAGAAAAGAAAAGAAAAGCAGACCTGGCCAGTGTGGCTCAGTTGGTTGGAGCATCATCCCATAGCTGAAACATTGCAGGTTCAATTCCCAGTCAGGGCACATACCTAGGTTGTAGGTCCAATGCCTGGTCTGGGCACATAGAGGAGGCAACCAATCAGTGTTTCACTCTCATGTGGATGTTTCCCTCTCTCCCTTCTTCTTTCTCTAAAAGTAATGATAAAAATATCGTTAGGTGAGGATTAAAAAAAAAGCATAGCAATAAAATAGTGAAAAAGTATTCTTCCAAGTTTAATATACTGATCTGGAGAGAAGTTCCAAAATTAAGTAATAATATTGTACAAATTCGGTGATTATGCATTTTATTGAAACAAAGACAGAGCAACAGAATGAAAAGAGTAACATGGCCTGGGGACGAGGGAAAATGAGCTATGTACTCTCAAGCAGGTTCCTGCCCTCTCTCAACCTCATTACCTCATCGACAGCAGAATGTGTTCTCAAATTCCAAACAGTTAATAGGCAAACGAATTTTAGATACAACTCCCTGGAAAGCTGAAGATGCACAGATGCATAGATTATATCTTTTTAAGATTACTTTATGGGATAGCTCTTTTACGAAGAGGTGTAAGTTACTAAGTTTTAGAATGTTTGCTGAGCGGCTGTTACATGGTCACACTTATATGGGACAGAGCAACAAATCAAAAAGACAGTATCATTGCACACAAGCACAGATGTGGAAGAAGATGCTTTGTGGCAGTGGGGTGGGTACGGTGGCGCCGGGCCTGTTCCGGCTTTCTGTCTGTAACGTGTCTGTTGCAGGAAGGAGCAAAGGAGTACGCCATGCTCCACAACCCCCGCTCCAAGTGCTCTGGTCGTCGCCGGCGAAGACACCACATGGTCAGTGCTTCCTGCTCCAACACCTCGGCCTCTGCTGTGGCTGAGACTAAAGAAGGGGACAGTGACAGGGACACAGGCAATGACTGGGCCTCCAGTTCCTCAGGTACTGTGAACAGAGAATGATCTCTTCTTCCCACACAAGGACTCTGGTAAACCCAGGATTACCTCCTAACACTAAATATGACTATGTTTTATAAAACTGTTAATTTTTTCCACAGGTTTACCTATAAACAGTGGAGACAGGGAATATTTTTGTTCCTAACTATGCTGCCGTCTAAATAAAGTGCTTCTGAGTTTGTGACCCACTACTGATGTAGCTGCATTCCACCCTCTTCTGTTTCTCTTATTTCTTCCTCTCTTAGAGGCCAACTCTCGCTGTCAGACGCCCACAAAACAGAAGGCTAGTCCGGCCCCACCTCAGCTCTGTGTAGTGGAAGCACCCTCGGAGCCTGTGGAATGGACCGGGGCTGAAGAATCTCTTTTTCGAGTCTTTCATGGCACCTACTTCAACAACTTCTGTTCAATAGCAAGGCTCCTGGGCACTAAGACGTGCAAGCAGGTACTGTCTGAAAGTAGCAGGAACAAGCTGGGGCCCTGCTTTCATGCGCTACTCTGTCAGCCCTTTGCCGTCTCATGAACCTGCCTGTCTGGAGAGAAGCTGCCTCGGGCTCAGTCCTCGCGAGCCTGTGCTTCTAGGCCATGAAGTGAGCCTCTAAACAGGGGGCCGCCTGCAAAGACCAGGCCTAGCGGTGCTTGGGGATCTGCTGTTCTCCTTGCTGGATTCTTACTTCTGTCTTTAACCACGATTTAATTCTTTTGGATGTTTCCGCACATTTTTAGCTTCCTTTTTTGGTTCCTGCCTTTGCTTCTAAATGTGTGTCCGTTTCCTAGAAGGGACTCCCGGGTCTTTCTGGGATGTCCTCACCTAGTGCGCTCCTGCTCCGCTCCTCGGCCGCACTGCTGCTCCCTCCACCCATCTCCTCATTGCTTTATTCTACAAATGTCCTATCACAGGGTTTTCTAATTACCACACCCAAAAGCTAGGCCTGGACTTGCCCTTCTCACTCATACCACCACTAGAATCACAGCTCCATGGTAGCCACCGGTGCCCTGGAGGCAGGACGGGACTGCAGTGGGAAGCCTGGAGAACAGGGACGGGGAGTCGGGTGTTAGGGCCGATCTGTCCAAAAAGAAAGGAACTCCAGAGCGTGAGCCCCACTCACGTGGCTCCCTGACTTCCGGAGGAGTCTCTGTGGCTGCTGCTTCATGCTCCCTTTACCAAGGACAAGCAATAGAACTGTGAGCGGAAGCGCCCGTCACTTTCATTGTGGAGCGTAGACCTATTTCCCTGAGACACAGGTTCTTAACCTGAAGACCCATCAAATTGGGTGCAAAACAATTTTCATGCGTATTTTCCTGAGAAGATTTATACTTTTCATAGGCTTTCCAAAGGGCCTATAACCAAAAGGTGGCGGGAGGGAGGGAGAGGAAGAGCTGCAAATGAATGCTATAAAGGAGAAAGCGCAATGGAAGGGGACCCGCCATCCTGAAATGCTGTCCTACTGACGTAGTCAGGGCTCTGACATCTTTATACCAGCAGAGGGAGCCAGTGCTGGTGGTATACGAGGGCGGCGGGCGGGCGGGGCGGGGGGGGGGGGGGGGAGGCGGTGGGGCGGGGACTCAAACCCAGAATTTATTTATAAAAAATTGTGTTTTTATTCTTATGTGTTTAAATTTCAGTCACCTACAAAGTACTCTCCATTTAATGCAATACCTCTATTGAGATGTTTTTCCACTGCTCAGAGCAGTTTTTGAACTTGTTGATTTTGATGCCTTTTAGGGCTTATGCTGTTTTTTGTTCCACCTCTTCTGTGGTGGGGGAAGGTTTCCCTTTGAGGACTTTTTTTTTTTAATCTAGGGAACAAAAAGAAGTTGCTCAGGGCAAGATCGGGTGAATAGGGAGGGTGGAGCAAGTCAGTAGGTGTGCTGGTAAATCACCCATCATGAAATGGGGAAATGTGTAAGTCTTCAAAAAAATTTCACTGAAGCCAAAGGCAGCCTCGCACAACAATGCCTGCTGGTACACTGATGCAGACAGGCTCCTAGACAGTCACCCAGCTGGATAAACCTGTACTACAAGGGGCGCGCCCTCCAGAAAATAATTCTGGCTTTTTAGGTCCCCCCTCGTATGTCAGGTCTTGTACCCAGTTACACCAGATACACAGAGTTGCTCTTCCAAGAGACAGAGACTGTTGTTAAGAATCAGCCCACATGTAGGGCTTGGTCAGCAGAGCAGTAGGTGAGAACTGCTAACTGGGGAAGCTGTAACCATGTTCCGTATTTCTCCTTCCTCAAGTCAGGATCAATGCTTAAGTACTGACCTCAGAGCCATGGTCAGCCTGTCTCTCCCTGACTGAAGAGATAGATGCCCAGTCAGCTGCCTGGGAGCTTTCTAGAACCCTCCGTCTAAGACCAGCACCTGCCTGGTTACTTACATGACCATCTAGTTCAAGAAGGAGTGACGGGTCCTGCTGGATTTCTTTTCCAGGTCTTTCAGTTTGCAGTCAAAGAATCACTTATCCTGAAGCTGCCAACAGATGAGCTCATGAACCCCTCGCAGAAGAAGAAAAGAAAGCACAGGCAAGGGCGGGACAAAGGACTTTCTGTGGACAAGCTGTTCCCTGTGCTCCGGCCTCCCCTTGGGCTCCCCATCTGCCTCCCTCTTCAGCCACTGCCCACCCGTTTGGCACTGCACAGCGGAGGGCAGCCTTCTCAGCGCCGCCCGTGGGCCTGCGCCTTGCGCCGGCCTTCCGCCTGTGCCTGGGCGCTGTGGGTCAGGAGATAACTGTTTGGTTTTCCATTTAAGCTCCTGGCCGGTAGGAGAGCTGGCCTCATTGCTCCACCGTGAGGCCGTTTTCCTCATTCGGTGGTTGGTTAACCACTGTACCCACTTCTCAACCCTGACCAGAGTTGTTTTTTAGCTTGTTTTTTTTTTTTGTTTTTTGGCACTTGTATTGTTTATCTAAGTTGCATAATAGCACTGTTTCTAGCTAGCTTTTGCTTAGGGTCGGAAGTTTTGTTTGTTTTTAAATTGACATTCTGCCTGGCTGGGTCCCTAATGACTAACACCCATTGAAGGAAGGAACTGACACCGATTCTAGATATAGAAGGAAGTCCGTGTGGCTGCTCCCTTTCAGGTCCTTCGCTCAGAGCATACTCCTGAAAAGCCTTCTCACCTCCCCATCTTGAAACTCCCCCACATCCTCACCTCCTCAAAGGCCAAGGAGAGGGAGAAACAATAGTATTATAATAGATATAGAGGGTTGGATTTTTTTTTTGTCTTTTTTTCTTTTTAATGCATGTTTGGTGGTTGTGGGGGGGGTGTTGTATATGTTTAAATCTTGAGGCATAGTCCAGCGGGATTTGGGATGGCCTCTGGCTTCCCTGTGCCAGAACAGAGGCCTCCTGTGAAGGGGTTTGGACGAGTACTTCCCAGTCACCAACCCGCAGTCCCTCACAGTAGGTCACATTGTCCTTTACTTGAACCTGCAGAGCTCCCCGGGACCATGACCCAGACCCGCCCTATCTCTCTCTTTCAGGTTGTGGGCGGCACATTGCAGAAAAATTCAGTTAAAGAAAGGTGCGTTCCGCAGTTCAGCGTGAGGTCTTGCCCCTGGGGCCGCCTCCACCCTGTCCGTAGCTGCTCTTGTTGACACTACACGACTTCCTCGGGCTGCAGTTTTTCTGCAGCAGCTGAGAACAGCTCAGCTTCTCACAGCAGCTATGAAGACCTCTTAGGAGGCAGAGTTATGGGCCTTGTGGTCTCTGATCTTCATAGTATGCCATTTCCCAGGTCCTAGACTTCATTTAATGTCCAAAATAGCCGCACTGTAATCCTGACTACTTCCACACTTTCCCCATAAAACGAGTCACCCCATTGTAGCTTGTGAACAACCATCATCTAGGATTGCTTCTCACTTCAGGCGCAAAATGGGTGTCTCAGGTTATGGTCATAACCAGCCACCTCTGAGTTAGCGCCGTTGCCCACCTGGGAGGGAGGGCAGCTAGGTAGGGTGGGCGCAGCAGTGTCCTGGGCTGTTCTTTTGTCTCCTAGATAACTCTTCCACACAAGTGTACAACTACCAACCCTGCGACCATCCAGACCGCCCCTGTGACAGCACCTGTCCCTGCATCATGACTCAGAATTTCTGTGAGAAGTTCTGCCAGTGCAACCCAGACTGTAAGAGTTCATTTTCCCCTGTGGTCTACCCAAGCCGTCCGCTGCGGTGCATCCTGGGTTTCCTTCACCTCCTGCGCCTTTTGCTGCTTCCCAGCCTTCTGACACTCTCTTTGCTGTGCTTTAAGCATTCTACGCAAGACTGAAGAGCTGGAAAAGTCATTTTTCAAAAACCCTTACCTGTGTGATTCTAAAAGCAACAATTATACAGAAACCAGACGCTTTCCCAACTTCACCTTCCAGGGCAGAATTAAGAAACATGGGAACCTTTTTCTCTTATAGAGCAGTCACAGCCTCCCTTTCCAGCATGTTTTATAACATACACAGGCTACAGTTCCGTGTATGTCTATTTTAGTTTGATATTTAGAGTTTTTATATCAGGCCGGTCTGGTCGTTAGCAGATGGTAGGAGAGAGGCTAGAAGCGCTTCCCTCACTTCCTGTCCCACTGTGTCCTTCCCCCGTCACGGCAGTTTGAGGGCAGCCCTCAGAGCTCACAGAACCCGGTGCCCAGGCAGCTGTGCTGGAAATACTGCCCAACCCACAGCGGATTGCAGCCTTAACCACAGAAAGGGGCGCTTGTGCTGGCGAGGGCAGTGGGGGGTGGGGGGGCATAGAACGGATATATTCTGGTCTCAAAATGACTTTAGTTTTGATGTTATTTACCAGTGAAAAACACTGATTTCATTTTCTCTGGGGCCCTATCCACCTCCCTTCCAGACTTCACCAAAGAGGAGTGGGGAGGGCATTGTTGGGGAATCTCTAGGAGCTACCTCTTCATAGTGAAACCTGCTTTATTGACTCAGGCACGATGTTGGGAGGTGCTCCATTTTCTTTTTTTATCTTCTTTTTTTAAGATTTTATTCATTCTTGAAGGAAGAGCGAAAGAGAGGGAGAGAAACATCAATACTTGGCTGCCCCTTGCACGCCCCCCACTGGGGGCCTGGCCTGCAACCCAGGGATGTGCCCTGACTGGGAATCGAACCAGCGACCCTTTGGTTCGCAGGCTGGTACCCAAACCACTGCGCCACACCAGCCAGGGCAGGTGCTCATTTTCACAGGAAAAAAATTTGAGCACGTGATTATTGGGAAGGGAACTTTTCTCCTATTTTGCCAAATGTCCTTGAGCACGTGACATTGCCTTCTCTGCCCTCTCTTGAGTCAGACCTGACCAGCGTTAGCCAGCGCCCCTTCCTGACCCTACCTGTTATCCCACGCAGGTCAAAATCGTTTCCCTGGCTGCCGCTGTAAGACCCAGTGCAACACCAAGCAGTGTCCTTGCTATCTGGCAGTGCGAGAGTGTGACCCCGACCTGTGTCTCACCTGTGGGGCCTCAGAGCACTGGGACTGCAAAGTGGTGTCCTGTAAAAACTGCAGCATCCAACGGGGCCTCAAGAAGGTGAGGGCTTTTCTCAGGGGTCTGGGCTGGGTGATGGAGTGGGGAACGCTGAAGAGACCCCATCAGCCTGTTTCTCCCAATTCCTTAGCGGGTTTGTGCTGAAAGTGCTTAGTAAACCCTGAAAGACACACATTTACTGAATTAATAAAGTTTTCTGTCCCAATAATGGATTAGAAAAGTGACACCCTGAACGGGCCAGATGGCCAGGAGCAGAGAGGGTGTCACCGAGGTCCATTTTTACTGAACACGTAGCAGTGAACTCCCATAGACTCAGGTTCAGAGGATCCCCAGGTCTAAAGGAAAAGGCGTCACGTTTCCTTTCACCGCCTCCCTTTTTTGTTTTTCCTCCCACCAGAACAGAAAGGCTTGGGTCTTTTTCTGTTTTGAGGTCACCTTAACAGTTGCTAGCGCTTTCCACCCTGCCCCTCGCCGTACACGTGCGCGCCTAGCACCCAGCATAGACAGTCCCTCGTCACCCACACCCTGTAGTCTGAGGATTGACTCTCTTCCCCAGCACCTGCTGCTGGCCCCCTCGGATGTGGCCGGATGGGGCACCTTCATTAAAGAGTCTGTGCAGAAAAATGAGTTCATTTCTGAATACTGTGGGGAGGTGAGTGCTATCGGTTTGGCCCACGTTCTTACCTGGGGAGCTACTGTTGAGAAACCCTGATTCTCTGTGGTTCAGACTTCTGTGAATTAATCTCTAAATAACTCGGCTGAGTCCTCATGTGGCCTCTCGGGGGAACCCACAGAACTGTTTGCAGTCCTGAAACAAACCGCTCTTCTTCGTCTCTTTGGCAGCTCAGGCCACACAGGAGGGGCAGGTGGGGGACTCTTTTCAGCCTTCCTACTGGCCAGCCTAGGTAGGGATTGAAACGAAACAACCCAAGCTCAATATGTTGTGATTCTCATCATGATGCTCAGTATGTGACACTGTCCCCTCCCACTCCTGTCTAGGGGCAGGGTACCGTGCCCTGAGCGGTCAGCCTGATCCCCTGTTGGATCCTTTTCTGTCTCTGCAGCTCATCTCACAGGATGAGGCTGATCGACGAGGGAAGGTCTATGACAAATACATGTCCAGCTTCCTCTTCAACCTCAACAATGGTATGGAGTCTGTCTCATCCCAAGGGGGTCTTGAGCAGGTCTTCCTACCAGATGTCCCTTGTTATGGTCCAGGTTCAGATCAGCTCTGAATCTTCCAACAGATGCACAGAGCAAGGTGGTGAGATTGAACTCAGAGGTACCATGAGCCACAGTTCACTTGCTTTGGGAGAACTTCCATTTCCAGGTCGTGTTTGTAATCAGAGCACTGAGCACTTACACCTCAGAAATCTCCCTTCCTAGATGAGAAAAGGAGACCCGTAATTCCAGCTAAAGGGGGGGACCCAAAGGGAGTACTCCCGCATGAAGCCACATTCTTTTTTTTTGTTTGTTTATTTTTTTTATTTTTTAAAGCTGCATTCTTATGCTGCCTGCTTTCCCAGCTCCTACTAGTACACTGGGCTTCAAAATTCCCACTGGACTGTCTTGTTCCTGTTAACTGTGAGACTGATTTTAAATTCAGGCTCAAGAGGCTGTGGAGTTGCCTGGTGAGCTCATGGTCTTCCTTGGTTTACTTTATACAGATTTTGTAGTGGATGCAACCCGGAAAGGAAACAAAATTCGATTTGCAAACCATTCAGTGAACCCCAATTGTTATGCCAAAGGTGAGTTCCCAGTGACCTGGGAGGTGAGCTAGGGGGTGTATGCTTCATTTACTACGGTCTCTATCCATTCTTTACTCTTTTTTTTAGCTGAGTTATTATTTTGTCCAAAGATAATCATGGTTAATGTCTGGTATCATGTTGAGCCTGTCTCTAAGTTTTATCACCTATTTTTTTTTCCACTGAATACATTACAAACATTTCCCCAGAAACACAAGTCTTTGAAAGATAATTCTTTCCCCATGTCAGTTGCCAGAAAAAGAGATGTAAAAGCACAGAGACAACTTTGTTGACTACTTTCTAACTCCACTTCGTTTATGTTTTCACTGGAAATTTGGGGAAAATCAGCCCAGAGTCACTACTGACGTTGCCTTGGGTTGACTAGCCCTTGTCTGCGCCATTTGCAGTGGTCATGGTGAACGGGGACCATCGGATTGGGATCTTTGCCAAGAGAGCAATTCAGGCTGGTGAAGAGCTCTTCTTTGATTACAGGTGAGGCAGCCAGGAGTGTTCCTAGAGAGGTGGCCCTAGAGGTGGAAAGGGTGGCTGTGGGAATTGATTTGGGGGCTTAAGGTGGGTGATACAGAGGAGGGAGAGGATCTTACAGTGGTCAAGTCTTTTTCTTTGTTCTGATCGCTGGTGCCTTTTGCCTCAGAAGGGGGAGAGTGTTAACTGCTGTTAAGAAGTGGGAGGGGAAGTGAAACGGTGGGGATTCCATCTTTTTCATCACAGAAGCCTTAATAGTCATCTCGTTCCTCCTCCTGCCCTGGGACAGGTACAGCCAAGCTGACGCCCTCAAGTACGTGGGGATCGAGAGGGAGACTGATGTCCTTTAGCCCTCCGGGGCCCCGCGCCAGTGCCTGCAGTAGCAGCGCTGTCTTCGCTTTCATGCACACACCACCGCTGCTCGAGTTTCCTGCGCTCTGTCTCCCACACCAAGAAAACCCCCACCCACTCCCTCTGCAGTGAGGCCTCAGCTGTGTCCGGTGGGAACGGAACTGTCTCAGTGAGAGGGGAGACAGAGGCAGCGAGGGCGTGGGCTTCCAGGAAAGTGTCGCAGGCATTGGAGACTGCACCTCGGGCTTCAGAGGAAGAGAGCACAGACTGGGGTTGGGTGACGTATGCTTGGCTGATTGCTTGTCACCCAGGCCGCGGGCCTCAGGAGTCGGCGTGGACAGTTCCTAACAAGCATCAGCCTGTCATTCTAACTTTCCAAATCAAGGGTCCTATGTCGTTGGGTTGCCAGCCTGTCTCTCTGTGGCCCTAAGACCTGGAGAGGACAGGACAAGTGAAGCTTAGTTCCTGGAACGTATGAGTGGTCTGGGCTAAAGGAGGGCCCGACAGGCAGCGCCCACCTAAGTCAGAGGGGAGAGGGGTGCCCTCGCTACCTCCTCCTTCCTGGCAGGATTGAGACTGAAAGAGTGGGTCCTGAGTATGGGTATTTAATGCTGGGGAAAGGAAAGCTAAGTGCCATCCTTCCATGGCCAGAGTGAGAACAGCATGATGACCGCAGTTACACCTCTGAGCTCGGGGCCCAGCAGGCGCTGAGAAACCTCTGTGTGTTCTGGGGGCGGGTGTGTCTCAGAGGCCCGGGAGCCACGCCAGTGCCCGGTCAGCTCTGTGCAAGGTTCCAGCTCAGCAGCTGCAGGCGGGCGCCGTGCTGCTGCTGGAGAAGCACGAAGTGGGTGCCAGACTGGGTGTGAGCGCTCTGGCTCCCTGGATCTGTCGTCGTCTTCAGGCCTTTTACTCCCCTCGGAGGCCAGGCCCCCAGAGCCACTGTCTCTTATCTCTCCTGTGTAGACGGGTGCAGGCCTGGAGTAGGGGGAAGACTGTTGGTGTGATTGACTTTCCTGTCTGTAGCACCTGCTGTTGGAAAGGGTGAGTCGGCAGTATGTGTTTGGAGGTGGGTGACGGGCTCCCCAGTTGCACGTGTTTAGTTAGGATGGCATCCTCTGTGTGCCCCGCAGACAGGCAGAGGGTATTTGAAGTGTTGAGAAGACTACCTGTGCCAGTCCGTGGTGCTGGTCTCTCTGGGATTCATGCAGAGCAAAGCACTTTATCTCTTAGAAGGCCTGTAGAGTAGGGTAGAGTTTGAGCTAAGGCCCCCAGGGTCCTTGCCCAAACCCCATTCCTGAGGGAGGGGGAAGGAGAGAGGTGGAAGGTTTTCCTCCAGCTCGGTCTCACTGCCTGGTGGCAGAGGGAGGAGCTGCCTGGACACAGGAATCCGGTGAGCACAGGGCAGCTCCCAGAGCTGGCCCCGTGTCTGTGGGTGGTGCGCGGAGCTGGCAGGGAATAGGGAGCACTGTGCCTGGTAAAAAGGACACGGGCAGGCACAAGTCGGCCTGAGGAGTGTTGGAGGAGGGAGCAGACTCCCCGCTTCTCTCTGGGGGATCAGAGCTTCGCTTTCCCAGTCCGTGCTGATCGCCCCCTTCCTCCAGCCCCACTGGCTCTCCCATGAAGCAGTCAGTGAGTGGGCTTTCCTCTGGCCAAGCAGCTGTCCAGGGAATTTTGTGGGACATGCACACACACTCCCACTCACCACGCTTGTGGGCACATGCACTTAACACACCCAACAGCACCCGACAGAAGCACCTCTCCCGCCCGATTGGGGCAGCCCCCACTGTGATTCTGAAATGTACATCCACTGTGGTTTGTACTGATTACGTGTAGTGGGGGCACCTTCTAGCTGAGCTGTGGGCTCTGAGTTACTCATAAATTTTGGGGGGAAACCAAAGACAGATGAAGAAGGAGAAGTTAAGTCTGTCTGAAACGCCAGGGGCTGGCCATGAGGAATAGGTGGAAAAAGAGTACATGCAGCCTTTGAGAGGCTGGACTGACCCCCCCTCCCTCAGGGTGCAGAATCGCTGGTCAGCCACTCCTTCCCCAGCTTCAGACCACTGATACTCCTGTTTCTCCCGTATTCCCATCCTTTTTCCATGCTGTCCCCAACCTTTAATGACGGGTGTCAGCCCCTCCCCTGAGACATGTAATGATGAATGGAGCCAGGGGGTGGGGGGTGGGGGCAGGGGAGGCTGGTGTATGTGCGGCTTTATTGCCAGTGAATTTCACGCACTTTAAAGTCCTGTGGCTTGTGACCTCTTATATGAATAAAGTGGCAGAATCCGTTTTGGCAAGTCATGTACCATGTGCTTTGGGGCTGGAAGGATCCAGGATTGGCAGTACAGGGGGAGCTCCAGGTGAAGCCTTGGCGTTCTGATCCTCACTCGACCGCTGAGATCTGGGGCTGGGGCGGGGGGGGGTGGCGAGAACGGTCAGGCTCCTGGAAGGCGATGTGAGGATTCCGAGGGCTCCGCTCAGAAATTTCCAAACCCTCAGACTAGTTCCCTTAAAACGATTCTGCTTACCCACGCCCGCCCCCAGCCATGACACCAGCCACCACACACAGACTGGGGCTCTGCCACTCTGCTTTATTAGAATGGCTCTGAGTCTGCGAGCGCAGCTTCGGAGTGGAGGCCGATCAGGCTGGAGGAGCGACCAGCCGACCATGGGACTTCCAGCACAGGAGAAGCAAACTACAGACCGTGGCCACAGCACAGGACAGGACAAATTGATTGATTTTTTTTTCTTTTATATAGAAACTGATAATTTAAAAATTAGAGTGATATATAGTGGTTTTCTAGAGAGAAACTTTGCAACAAAAAATATATATAAAGAATATGACCTCCCGGGCAAAGGAAGCAGCATCTCTGAGCGGAGGAAAGAGGACTCCTCATGCACTGGAGGGGCCAAGCCTTTGAACAGGCAGCGGGGCTGTCACACACCTCGAAAGAGCGGGGAAGAGAAGGGGGCTGGCTAGTCAGTGTGTCTGCACTATTGCAAGTTTTTATGGCTTTGGCTAAAGCATTGGAAGCAGCGGAGGTACTAAGGTGCTAAGCTGAGGCCTGTCAGTCTTTGTGAAAAAACAAAAGAGGAGGAGGCTGGGGGCCAGTGATGAAGCCCTCCCTAACCCCCAGCTGCGACGACACAGATGGAAGACATTCTGCAGGGCAGGGGTTAGGCTAGGGGATGTGATTTAGCAACCTCCTCCCCCCATACCCTTGCAGCGGGGCCATTCCATACGCCAGTCCCTGCTGGGGGCAAATGTTTGAAGAGAGACAGTTCATCTCTTATGCACTCTGTTAATCCCTGGCAGCAGCGGGGGCTGGGGTGGCAGGAAGGGCCTGTCTCAACCCCATAAGGCTTCTCCTTTGGGGCAGAAAAACAACCAGGAGCCTGGAAAAACGGAAATGGGCAAGGCATTCGTTTAGGCAGTGAGGCTCGGCCACTCCTTTGGTCCCACCTGTAGCTCTGCCCGCCGAACATGGCAGGAAGGACATCCTCTGTATGAGAAGAACCAGCTAAGAGGAGCCAAATGACCCTGACAGGGTTGGGTAGAGACAGGTACTGGGGGATTCAGAGAAAGTGGACTTGGTCCCTGAAGCCCTTCTGATTCATTCAGACCTGGACTCCTCCAGGATCTGGGGTAAGTTTTGGTCCCGGGGACCAGAGGCTGGGGCTGGGGCTGGGGCTGGGGCTGGGGCTGGAACTTGGGTGGAAGCTGGTGTCGGGGCTGGGGTCTGGGCAGAGCCTGAAGTAGGTAGGGGAGGTTTGCTGCCAGGGTAATCATGGGTGGCCTTGGGTTCATTGGTGTGGTAGGAACCCTTGTAGCGATGATTTTGCAGATAGAAGAGCACCAACATTCCCACCAGTCCGAGCAGCAGGAAGGCCACCAAAACTGAAAGGGACCAAAAAAAAAAAAAAATTCAGGACCGATCTTAGGGATTTCACCTATATAGAGACGCACATACATGCTTTTGCCTAAAAGCATACACGTGAAACAGTGTCCGCTCTACAACCACTGGTGGGTCTGAATCCCTGGCTTATCCCCTGCCATCTTCTATTTCTCATACTCTCTTTTCACATCCCTGGTCGTTACTGCAATTTCTTCTCTCTCTATATGTTAACTATGTCCCCATTTCCTCATTCCTTACCCATAGCCCCATCTTAATATTTCACTTAAAAGTGTAGAATCCTCAAGCACTTAAAAATTTCCAGCTCAGTTATATACCGCCCTCAGCACGGCCTGCCTCATCCTTCTTTGTGCCGCCATGCACCCAGTGCCTTCGGCACCCCTCAGCTCTGGGCATATAGGGCGGGAAGGGACTGCTGACAGAGGGTGGAGTCTGGAAATCAGGGCAGCGATCGCACTACTCACAGCCTAGAAGTATGGCCACCCATCCATCATCGTGGTAGTATGGGAAGTCTGAAGAGGAGAAAGCACCAGTTAGGAGAAGCCTCCCACATCATAAAGATCATTTTCTTTCCCCGTCACCCCTCTTCTGTGTCCCAAGGACGTACCTGGGGGCAGATACCAGGGATCCAGCTCAGGTGGCACCTCTGAGAAAAGACGTGGCATGGCTCCACAGTTAGATTCGGACAGTTCACCCTGAACTCGAAGGGCCTCAGCTAGCTCAGCAGTCATGGGTCGAGGGGCTCGGAAGTGGGTCTTGAGGGGAGCCACGTTGTTGAATCGAACACCAGACAGGCAGCCTGAGAAGCCTGGGGTGTTGTAGCGCTGGATCTCTGGGTCAATTATTCCTGTCTCTGGGGGAGGGGCAGGCCCAGAGAGATGCGTCTCGGGCCACCAGTAGCCCTGTTCCCTCTCGCCATCCACAGGTTTCCCACCCAGCACCACCTTCCCTGTGATTCCCAGTTCCTTCACTCTCTTCAAGGCTCCAGGGACTTTACCCACAATTTCTTACCTGAAACGCATTGGCGCCCACAACTTACCCATGACACGCCCTAGATACAAGGCCTTGGGTGAGTCCAGCTGGCTGTCCACCAACAGTGAGAATTTCTGTTCTGTCAGTGGGAAGTAGTCCACCTGAGGCGGGGAAGGGGAAGGAAATGAGGGAGGGAGGACCAGAGGCAGCCCGAGCCACGATCACGCAGGAGCTCTGTTTGAACTCCGTCCAAAACAGTGGTAAGTCCCAGCTCAGTGCTAGGTGGGTGACCCATGGACCCAGATGCAGGATTTGGTATTGAAAACCCAACAACCTGGTTTTGAGCCCTGTTTTTGCAGCTTCTGAGTAGTTTGACTTGGGGAAAACCATTTTACTTTCTGAGTCCATTTAACGATTTGTAAAATGGAGATATAAGAACACCTGCATGACTGAGCTGCCCTGAGACCTGTTGTGAGAGTCACACGAAGTAATAAAATGGAAAATTCTCTGTAAATTAGAATGTGCTCTACAAATGCTAAAAAATGTTTGACATTTTTCTGGGTGCCACAACTAGATCATGAGGTTCTGATCTGAACTGGTCCACCCCCTCTGCACACACCTGGATGAAGAGGTTGCGGTAGACCCGGGTGATATTGACGCTGTGGGGCTGGCCATCAGTCACCGGTCGGGTGGTTAGTTGGTACACGTAGGGACTGGTGCCCAGCTGATACCGCAGCTGCAGAGTCCCTGTGGGGTGGGGAGGAGAAAAGAAGTCTCTCAGGTCCCACAGTCCCCATTTTCTAAGAGCACTTGGGTTCTCCTATGTCCAGTGAGTCGGTGGCTGTGAGAACGAGGGGCACCACGGGAGGATCTGGAGGTGAGGGAGACAGCCTGTTAGGAGCGTACCATCCTCCTTGATGAGCACGGCCATGTAGTCACGCACAAAAGAGCTGACATAGAGCAGGACGGCGGGGGCGGAGTGGGTGCTGAAGCTGAAGGACACCTCCTCTCCAGTAACGTTGTAGACGGGGCCCCGGTAGCCGGGCACAGGCCGGCCAGGCTGCGGGTAGTCAGGCAGACGGTAGCCAGGGCCGTGGTAGCCAGGCACATAGCCAGGAGTGTCATAGCCAGGGATGTAGCCTGGCTCGTAGCCTGGCACTGGCCGGCTCAGCATGTGCGAGAACTCCCGGGCCGCAGAGCGCAGTGCCGACTGCAGGTTATAGCGCATCCAGGTGCCGGGCTCAAAGAAACCACCGATATCTGAAGGTAGGGGCGGTAAGGTCAGGGCTTCCGTTCACACATTCGGATTGTCTGTTGTCCACACCCACCTGCCCCTGAGACTTGCCTTCAGTTTCTACCACCAACTATAGTTTCATCTAATCCAACCCCTGCATTTTACAGGTGAGAAAACAGGCTCAGAGATGGGCGGTGGCTTGCTTAAGAACACACAGTAAGTGGAGAGCCAAGATTAGAATAGAGATAGCAGGACCCATCCAGTACCTTCACCACTACTCACACTTCCAAACCAAGACCAAAGGTCTGCTATTGGTCCCTAAGCTCCTACATCTCCCTAGCTCCACCAGACTTCCCATCAATAACCCACCTGCTCTCACATCCTCCTAGATCAGCCTTTGGGAGGATGCAGTCTGGGTATACGTGCAGAGATCTTGCTGTGGTGAGTGACAAGGTTCTCCTTAACCAAGAACCAGGTTGTAGACGGGTTTTAGGAGTGCGGCAATTGTCAAATAGGAAATGGCATAGGAGGGCATCATGCAGCCTGAGGTGGATATGCTTGCAAGGGGGGTAACCTTGTTACCTTGGTGACAGGGGAAGATGGGGAAGTTACTTGCTTGTTGCTTTTGAGTTCTTTTACCACCAGCTAACTGCACCGCCCCTTTCTTGCCCCACTTTATGCCTTTGGAGTCACCCAGCATCCTCAGCTGTCTGACGACCCCAGCTCAGAGCTCAGGAACCCAGGAACAGCTCTTTTTTTTTTTTTTTTCCTGGTTGCTAACTTTACTCCGTCCTTCCTTCCTTCCTTGCCATCCCTACATCTCCTTACACCCTAGGACTACCTGTCTTCCCATAACTAGCAGCACTGACCGTGGTTGCAATATGGTCCATCAAATGCCGTGAGGTCACAGTCACATGTGTAGTAGCTGTAGCGTTCCACGCAGCGGCCTCCATGGAAACAGGGGAACCGGGGGTGAGCGCAGCGGCCTGTGCAGTTGGGCGAGGTACCCTCAGAGGCATTGGCACGGCCCTCCAGGTTGAG